ATCCGATATGGAACCAGGGCTGACACACGCTGACCTGCAAACCAAACCGAGGATGAAGTTTATCAAAGATTACTGGAAGAGCCCTGTCACAGCCTTGTCCCCATCTCAGTGGGGTGCTGCCTTAACTTGCAGGACTACGCTTCTGGGACACCAGTTTTCTGTGACCGCACTCCATTACAGCTGAACGCTTGGCTGCTGCAGAGCACGCTGTGTACAAGAACACGCTTCCTCTGCCCTGCAGCGCTGGGAAGTTCAAGCCACTTGCTTTTCTGTTGCCTCTGGAAAACCGCACCGTGTTTCATTAAACGACAGGCCCATCGGGAAGCTTGGACCTAGAGCATGCCCTGAAAGAGCCAAACAGCTCCTTCTGCTGCCCTGCCGGGACTCTCTTCCTTCAGCCGCAGAACCCCCCAGCACATTGCTAGGTCTATCACCCACGGAGGCGCTGAGAACAGTTTCAGTGCAACAGGTCCAGAGGAAAGAACTCTCTTCCAAGAAGCCCCAAGTACTTCAGCTCCCTGGCCACCCAGAGGAGGGTCAAGGTGGGAGAAACCGAGCTGTGTATGAGGGGCTCTGGCAACAGCCTCCCCTGACTGCTCCAATGGAACTCGCATCCCAGAAGGGACGAGAAACTTCCCCAGGTCCAGTGCTGCATGATGCGCCAGACCTCGAGGATTTAGCTACTGGTGCATGGATTCACACAGCCTCTGTTTCAGGACAACCCCTACCTGTGAGGTCTTGGTATCTGAAGCATACCCATCCCATGCTTGCCACTTCTGCCTAGGAACCTTCCCAGGCCCCTGCCTCGGGCAGGGGGGGCCCTTTGAACAGCGGAGCTGCCACTTGGGGCAAGTCCACTTGGTTCATTCTGTAGAAAGCAAGGACCGGACATTGAAAGAACAGCTGAAAACCTCAGTGACACAGTCCCACGTATGGAAAACTACCCCATCGCCCAGGCAGTCCTATGAACGCTGTGGGGAAAGACTGCCAAGGCGAAAGAAGCTGGGTCAGAGAACATGAAGACCCACAGCTCCAAGGGTCTGCACCAGTCCCCAGGAATTACAGGCTGGATCTCAGAGGAAACCCCAATGCCGTACGTGTGTGCGAGAGAGATCCTTGCCAGCAGCAGCACTAGCTCTTGGCAGGGAAGAAGGATCATCACCGAGAGGTCCAGTGTCAACGGGAAGAGAAGGGACAACGCTGAAGGTCTGCTTCAGGACCTGTGTGAGAGAGGTCCAGGCATGGATTGCCAGGGAAGACCGACAGACTGCTTTGGTAACAGCCCACCACAGACTTGCCAGTGAAGTCTGGTAATTAGTTCATTAAAAAAAAAAATCCTTGGCTCTAAATTCAGGTTACTTCAACTACCCTTGTGCTTCGCCAAAGGACTGTCCCCTCAGAAGCAGGAATACCAACGAAGCAGCCTTCCACAGTGCTATTAAGGCCTCTCTTCTCGTCAGGCACGCTCTTGTACAAGGATGGGACGCGGGTGCCTGCGTTGGCAATATCCAGTCCTGGCATCCTGGCTGTCCCTCCGAGAGCCCAACAGCCCCAAGAACAAAGACCCACACAAGATGCAGCACGTGGAAGAAAATGCAGACACATCAGGATTTTACCTTATTCTTACTGAAAGTGGAACCACTTACCTGGCACGAAACTGATGTGCACAGACAGTCTGTCCTAGTGCCAGTGAGATACTAAAAAGCCTTTTGTGTACCCATTTTGCTTCAGACTGCTACTTCCCAAGTTACCTGGTCCCTTCCCGCCCGTCTGCTACACGGGAACACACCACAGGGTTTACAGCCGATAGACTTGTACGCAAGTCAAGAGCGGGAACGGGACAAAGAACAGCATCGCGTGGGTTGAGGCCCTGAACCCTGAGGTCCTGGGCCAAAGAAAGCATCAGTGGCACGCGGCTCTGTAGTTAGGTGTATGGGTACAGGATTCAAGTTGGGTATTCGTTATCCCTTCCGCCCAAGCATTCAAGTCCAAGGCAAGGGACTCAGGAAAAAGTGTCCCAAAGCTGGGGTGGGTAGGGTGGGGAGAATCACAGAGTTGTTTGGGTTGGAAGAGACCTTTAGGATCCCCAAGCCCAACCATTCCCCTACCCCTGCCATCCCACCCCCAAACCCTGTCCCCAAGCGCCACGGCTGCCCAGCTGTTAAATCCCCCCAGGGCTGGGGACTCGACCCCTTCCCTGGGCAGCCCCTTCCAGCCCCTGACAGCCCCAAGGGGAAGGAATTGTTCCCCATGGCCAACCTCACCCTGCCCTGGCACAACTTGAGGCCGCTGCCCCTCGTCCCATCGCCCCTTCCCTGGGAGCAGAGCCCAACACATACAGGAATGGCTGGAACCAGTTTACAGTGAATTCAGGTTCAAGTCTTCCAGACTCATGAGTATCTGCGCTTACTCGAGCACCCGTATCCACTGGGGCAAGACCTTGAGCCCTGGTTTCCAGGGAAGCAATCCTGTAGAGGTAGGAGAGGTCTCTCAGCAGCGAGCACAGGTACAGGAGCTCGCCAGCTCTTTCCCGTTGTGCTGAAATGATCCAGTTCAAAAACTTGGGAACCAGCCCTGCACGGCTGTCACCAGGCTTCTGTGGCACCGCATTTTTCTCACCTCCCTTTACGCCCTCTCCTCTTTAGAACAGTGCCTTTGGGCTTGCAGGGCAGGCTTGCAGTCTTACGAGAGCTCAAGTATCCGACCCCTCTGCCGATGAGAAACCAGCGATACAGCACCAAGACACGAAGGCCCACCTAGAGCAGCCCATGGGCCTCTGCTTTCCACCAACGCTGCTTCCTTTGGGGATTAGGGAAGTTGAACCCTTCACTGGTCAGGCCCGGTCTGTAAAGCCCAGCACTCGGGCAAAAAGGTTTCATCCTTACCCCAAACATTTTTGGGATGTGTTCAGTAAAACCTAGAGCCTCCTCTGGCAGTTGCCACCAGACCGAGCTATTCAACAGCTTGTGCAGCCGCAGCCAAACAGCTCGCTGCCACGAATAGGGCGACAAAGCATCCGGCCGCTCAGCTCCGCTCCTGTTCGATCAGTGCTGGCACTCGGTGAGTTACGCACACTCTGCTTCAGGATACCCATGGGCCCCTGTGACACCACAGCCATCAGCAGCGTCGTCGTTCCGCATCGGCACACCTGAACACACAGACCCCAGGAACTACGGGATGACAAACCTGGACACGTTTCTGTCTTTCAGGCAATTACTGCAGCTCTGGGCCTGAACCTTAACGAGACCAGCACAGTTCTCTCTCCTAATTCAGGGCTGCACAACTTGGAACGTCCATTGGCATGGAGTAATGTGCAAGGTTTCCAGATGCTGAGGCTGCTTCTGCAAAAAGCCTTCCGAATTGCCCACATTTTTCAAACAATTCACCCCAAAGACCAAGGCTGTGAAAGCCCTACACAGGTAAAACGAGCCGAGAGCTGTTACTGTGCGGAGCGGCGTGTTCCGTCAATAGGGGAAGTCTGAAAAAGCCTGAAGGTGAAGTCACTTGAAGACACTGTCACCGCATCGCCCCATCAGAAAGCTGTTTGGGCTACAACCACTTAAGGAGTACCAGGGAAGACTGGAGCCTGACTAGCAGGCTGATGCCAAGGAAGCCGATCATTCCTCTGCGCTCCCACCACATCCGTGCCGCACCTGAAGACATCCACAACCTTCTCCAGTTTGCTGACAGCGCAACACACACTACAACAACTGGAAGAACAGAGGGTTAAGTGGGAGCTGGTGACTGCACAGACACCCCTGAAGTGTCGTGTATGAGGGAACGGGGAAGGAACAGAGAGAGGCCATCGGCAAATTCCGTGCAGGGTCCAACTCGAGCAGTATTCCTGGGGACCCAAGGACTGGCTCACCAGCTATGGCAGCAGCCTGCCAGGTTCTCCAGAGGGAGGCTCTCACGGCACAGCTCTGTGCTCCCCTGGTCACACGCGTCATCCTTCGGGTCGCGGACGGCCTCGGGCTTGCACAGGCTAACTGTACGGAGGGTGAACCCCCCGACTTGTCCCAGGAGAGGAGCACCATGGCATCCACCACCACACAGCACACCCGCTGATTATCCCCATAACCACCTCATCCTCTTCAGTTATGGGTTTCCAAGCCAGCCCCTCACTGCTGAATCAGCCATTTTAAACACAAAGCAGCCTGCACCCACTTAGGCCAAGCCTGACATGCTGTGGACCTGACACGCTAGCCTGTTACGTGCCCGCCTCTATACCTGCATCATTAGAAACATCCGCATTTGGCCTAAATCAGATTTCTGTTAAGATCTACAGGGGTAGGACTAGATGACCTTTAAAAGGTCTCTTCCAACCCAAACTATTCCATGACCCAATAAAAGCCCTTCCTCAATCTCTCCACCCCCCCTTTAGGATTATGCTTTGTCAGCTGTTCCCAGTCCATTTGTGTTTAGCTCACACTACAGCATTTTAATGATGATGATGTACGATGCCTGATCTTGGAGTCAAAGAATCACAGGATGGTTTGGGTGGGAAGGGACCTTCAAAGATCATCCAGCCCAACCCTCCTGCTGTGGGCAGAGACGTCTCCCACTCAATCAGGCTGCTCAGAGCCCCGTCCAGCCTGACCTTGAACACTTCTGATGGTGGGGCATCCACAACCTCTCTGGGCAACCTGGTCCAGTGCCTCACCACCCTCATCATAAAGAATTTCTTCCTTACATTCAGTCTAAGCCCACCCTCTTCCGGTTTAAAACCATTGCCCCCTGTCCTGTCACTACAGGCCTTGGTAAAACGACTCTTCCTTATCAGCCCCCTTTAAGCCCTGACCGGCCGCAAGACACTCTTGGCTTGGCTGCGAGCACACATTGCTGGCTCATGTCCAGCTTTTCATCCACCAGTACCCCCAAGTCCTTCTCCGCAGGGCTGCTCTCGAGGCCTTCATTCCCCAGCCTGTACTGATAGCAGGGATTGCCTTGACCCAGGTGCAGGACTTTGCACTTGGTCTTGTTGAATCTCATGAGCTTCACATGAGCCCACTCCTCCAGCCTGTCAAGGTCCCTCTGGGTGGCATCCCATCCCATCTGTCTACCCACTGCAGCACTCAGCTTGGTGCCACCTGCAACCTTGCTGTGGGTGCACTCAATCCCGCTCTCTGTCCAGAATGACAATACCATACAGCATCAGTCCCACTGTGGCCCCCCGAGGGACACTACTCATTACCAGTCTCCATTCTGACACGAAGCTGTTGACTGCAACTCTTCGGATGCAGCCATCCAGCCATTCCTTAGCCATTAGTTCATCCACCAGACCCATCTCTCTCCAGTTGAGTTACAAGGGTATTATGGAGGACTGTCACAGGCCACACAAGTCACGATAGACGATCTTTTGTCAGACGTTTGGCTTCTCAAGACATTTATCAAGTTACTTTTGTAAAGCATCACCTTGTCAGCCAAGTATGATTGATTGTGCACAAAAACTTCTTCACACTTAGGCTGTCATTCTTTAACCTACGCTTTCCCCTTGCATCAACTTTCATCCACTTTGGGTTTTTAAACCATGAACACCACAAAGAAACTTCTAATGCAGTCTTTATACTCCTAAATCCAGCCAAAGGAACAGGAGCAAAGAGCAGAAAATGGAAGCTAGAGAGACCAACCAAGTCATGGGAGAGGTGCTTTGGTTTTCTTTAGTAGGAATAATAAAACCCTGGAACAATTAAAAATAGTGATTTTTCTCCTGCATCACAAACAAAAGCAGCAAAGCAGCCATGCTGCGTTGCAAAACTGGCACAACAGTGAGCTACCAGTGTGGTCAGTGGGATCACAGGTGGCACAGGATCTCCAGCACAGATGAAGGACAAATGCCATTACACCGTATGTGCAGCAGGTCTCATCAACTGCTTCCAAGAAAAGGAAATTCAGGCTAACAAATCCAAAGAAAGGCTGCTTGGGCAGACGACCAGGGAGAGAGCAGGCTGAGCCCAAGAGACACTGGCTATCAAAACACATGCTGAAAACGACAGGCTTGCTCTTGACTTGGAATGGGTACAAAAACAGGGAGAAAGAAAGGTTATTTCAGCCAACAGGCAATGTTAGTACAAAAAGAAGCAAACACAGATGAATGATAAATAAAGTTAAACTGCAAATACAAATTTGTAACCTGCAATAGAAGGGTTCTTTTGAGTGTTTGAAACAAAATACAAAAGTTTAATTTTAAAAACATCTCCAAGCTTAGAAGCAACCCACAGCTGCGGGCTCAACTCAGAATTCCCTACCAATGCTCCTCTGAGATCGTTCTTCCCTTATGTGAATTTCTAAACTAAACCGATTTTCTTCAGATCTGTACATGTACCAGCTATGCATAACAAGCAATAGAGTAGCCCTTTACATACCTAAAATATTAAGATCATTAACGCGAGCTAATTCTGTTCCTACTCTGTATCTAGACAGAAAGATTACTAAAATAAATGCGTTTAAGCTTTCTAACTATTGTTAAAGCTTTGGGTCCTCAACAAAAAAGCCCCAAACTCCCCTTCTGGGCGAGGCACGTGTTCCATACCACTGTCCATAGTACAAGGGCTAGATGTTCGTCTCCTACATGCACTCCAGGTGCTGCAAATCAGCACTACTCTCTCTCTCTCAACCCAGCTGTGATGCCTGCAGCCTGACTTGCTGTCCATGTTTTGGCACATTAAGGAGGGATCAGTGAGGGTAATTCTGACCCATCAATAAAACTGTGAGGTCCAAACTGTGGTGTCAGAACAGGACGTGAACACTCTGAAAGGGCCAGCTCTGACCCATGTTTGGGCTCCTGAGTCCAAGCTGAACATGCAGGCCCTCAGCAGGAAAAAAAACAAGCTACGCTCCCCCTTGTTAAGACAGCAGCACTCAGGGGTGCTGCTGCAATACTTCATGAAGAGACTCTCCCCTCCAATCTCTGGAGAAAACGGCTATTCCAGCCCCTAAAAGGTGCAGTGGGATCTTGACCTGAGCGTTTCTGAAGTGACCAAGTGTAAGGCAGGAGCACAAGCAGCAACCCCTCTTCAGGCTCTTCTAGGTGGGTGAGGCCAGACGCATGCCAGACTCAGCTGACGGGATGCCAGCCCCTTCAACACACACACAGATGCACACCAGCTTTCTTTGCGCTTTTATCCAAACTACGAGTACATCACAGAGATCTGTGCCCACCCTGGAGCGTTCTTTACACATGGCTAAAAAAAAAAACCCAGACAGGCAGAGGGGGCAGGGGCGAAGTCTTTCAAGTAGAGTTCATGCTGACAGGTCACTGTTATCAAATCTCTCCTGGTCATACACCTCTGCTACCACCTTTCTCCCCGCAAACCAGCGCCCGTTCAGAGCCTGAATGGCTTTGTGAGTCTCTGACGCCATGGAGAACTCCACAAAAATCTTGACAATGATCTCAGCATCCTCCTCTTCTCCTTGCTTCTCCTGGTAGATGATGACCCTGTTTACAGCCCCAAATTTGCCACATTCTTCTGTCACTTCTCCCTCTAGGTCATCATCAATGTCCTTTGGATCCACCATGTTGCGAAGCACCATCACAGTGGACTGTGGAGAGAAGGCAAAGAGAAATGAATCAATGTACCTAAGAGACTGGGACGAGATTTGCAAAGGCACGTCAGACCATGCAGCACACCTGAGCACCACCAGGTATTCCAGCGCTATGTCAGTACAAGTATATTCTATGAAACCAGTAACGTCCCAAGTTCTCAGGGATAAATCAGTAAGTTTTCTCCCTGGGCATCAGAAGCACGAACAGATCTCATTCCCCGACAGCTGTGTGCCATCCCTTGGGCTTTTCTTAGACACATCTTCGAAGCACAAGTGACCTGGACACCTCTATAATGTTTCTTGTGCTGCTCCTATCCAGTCATTTTTTGCTTTATCATCTTCAACACCACCATTGTGCATTTTTTTGAAAATTTTTCCTCTTCTCTAAATAAAGCAGAAGGATTAACCGGGTCTTTTATACCTCTGACAACTGATGGTTGACCAGGTACTTTCATTACAGGGGTTAACAACGTGCGAGTCCATCAGAGTACCTGCAACGTACCTCTCATACACATCCCCCCATCAAGCCCGTTCGTGACTGAGCACCTCTCTGCATCACAGAATGGTTGAGGTTGGAAGGGACCTCTGGACGTCACCCGGTCCAAGCTCCCCTGCTCAAGCAGGGCCACCTAGAGTTGCCCAGGACCATGTCCAGATGACTTCTGAATGTCCCCAAGGACAGAGACCTCACCACCTCTGTAGGCAGCCTGGTTTTGTGCATTACACCCAGCTCTACCACATCCCTTCCTCCCAGCTCTGGCCCTGCCCAACAGCATAGGCCAGCAGACACAGCATTTCAGGCTCAGTGTAATTTTAAAATACTTGTTCCCATTCCTATTCACATGTCTGCAGAACCGCCTTTAAGAGCCTCCTAAAAGAACAGCAAAACCAAAAGGGTACTTACAGGCTGAGAATGCTAAGCAGCTCTGAGAATGGTGTAGTTTAAGGCTCTTTCAATACCCCTAAACCTTTTTCAAGCAAGTGTGCCAAATGAATTGGACTCTTTGGAAAACATACTCGTGACAGGGAAACTGGCTGCTACGTCAGGAGCTCAAAGATGTATTTAAAATTCTGCACTCTTTGAAAGTACAGGAGAACACTCAGTAGCTGACTCATTTGTGTCACACACATCAGCATTATCCCTATTTAGCAAACATTGTCGATTCAGTGTCAAAGCTCAGGAAATCTGCGTGTCAGGTAGGAAACCCAATCATGCACAGGAACAAACCTCTGCTCATGCCCAAACAAGAAGCCTGATGAGATTATCAATACAGCCCCTTCCAAGACACTCACCCCCCAACCTATGAATCTATCGTTCTGTTTAGCATGCTGACTTCCTCCATCATGCATTCTTATCCTTCTTCTCATTGCAACTTCTGTGACGTTTTGTTTTATAAACGCCTCCATTTCATCCCACAGTAAGAGGTTGTGGGGAAAAGGTGGACTCAATAGTTTGTAACAGATTGTCCCTAACCATGTGCCAGGCTCACTTCTTTAACTGTAAGTCCAAAGGCCATCATGGTTACTTTAATAATGCTAAATAAACACACAGTTTAATCAGGGACACCTCTTCTGGCCTAGTGACTGGTCTGAACCCTCAGATCCTAAAGCCAGCATAAGAACCATCACAAGCAGGTAGCCTTTGGAGTCCCCCGGGAGCTCTGTGGGGTACCTACAAGGTGTGCTGCAGGAAGCCTGTACCACACACAAAATGCACAGCTATACCGCATCGAGAGCGATCTAAACCTGGTCGGCTCATTTGCTTAGAACTGGAACCAGCTCAGGGCAGTCGCACTGCACTCACCTCCTGTTTACGAAGCAATTTCTGCATCACCATGTGACGGGCACTGCTGCCAGATATGCTCATGTGTTCCTGTTCACTCAGCATCTCTGGCCTCTCCGACTCCTGGAATACCTCCTCTTCTTCCTTCTCCTTTTTGACCTCCATCAGGCCCAATGCTGGGGGACTAGCCAGGATAGGATTCACAACTCCCACTTGTGGAATAGTGACAGGGATGGGAGGTCGGGCAGGGGTTACACCTGTAAGAGTACAGACTCTGTAGCATAAAGAAAAGAACTGATGGTCTGCAACATTTGGGTACACACCAACCAGTGACAGAGGATCACAGAATCTAGATGGTTTTATCTGCGCTGCACCAACAACGACCAGGGAGACATAAGCAGCAATTTAGTCGGCACACAGGACGTAAGCACTCAACACATGCATCATATACTTGCCCAGAAGGGAGACAGAGTGCAGGATTTTGCATGGAGTAACAATTATCC